GTTATTTGTGTATGCAATTTACAAAGCAAATCTTGACATAACAATGGAATGTGGCATTCTGGCATGTAGAGAAAACTACACCTTTTTTTTGTAATTGTCCGGTCACTCCAGTTACCGACACCACAGCTTGGTTAGTTTTGTATTTAACATTGAGTATGTAGCTACTGTATCTATGAGAAAGTAAATTAGCTTGTTCACCACTGTCACTTGTACCCAGAGCTCCTGTGTGGAAATAGTGATCATTCAAGAGGTGTCTAGGGGAGTTCCTGAGCCTTCTCATTGATCATTGGATTTATTATTCCTTTCTAATATTTCTTGCTGAGGGTTTCTATCCTTTTAAATTTTCTCTTTGAATTCTGGGCAGTCTTTCTCCAACAGCCTTCCTCTTTGCAAAGGGTGCATTGATTGGCACCTAGTGGGCCTTCCCCTTTTCCTTTTAGGTCCCATCTTTCCTGGTGTTCCTGTACTATTTCTAAGAAAATGGTGGTCTGCTTTAATTTCCCTTTTTTCCCCCCCTGGCATGGTAAACTTTAAAGGCTGTGTTCACCATGTAAATATTGGATCTTCCTTCTGTTTTCTGGGGTGCTTTGCCAAATAAAAATCAAGTCTACCATCTGGACAGTTTTTGGTGCCTGTTGGTCAGCATCAGTGTGGTTTTGATTGGCCTGATAGATCCTTTCTAAAAACTGAAAAGGATCTTTGATTTCTGTTGAATGGTCTGTATCATATTCAAGCTCTTTTGTTCAGACATCACTTTCTTAAGCTCTTCCAATATGCACCTTTTGTAATGTTCTATGGAGGCTAGGTCCCCTCCATTCAGGTCCCAGTTGGGCTCTGTCAAGGGAATGACCCCAGCTGGGTTGGCGGTCCTGATGGGATTCTATTGATAGAGGCGATGAGCCTCTTCAACAGCCGTATCTATAACTAGCTGTCTTTCATCTGCCATTATCTGCCCAGTTTGGATGGTGAGTGGCAAAAGTGGAGGTGATAAGATCTTCCATTTTCTGAAGATCCTCCCTATATGCAGGGTTGGGATTCTTTCAATTCAGTAAGTCTGACGTGGAAAATGGAATATGGCCCAGTAGTGGCCAGTAGGCTGACTTTTCTGATTTTTTTCCACCTATAGGGTATTGCCTCAAAGGTAATTGTTCCATTCTGGATAGGGATTCTCCCTGGCCAAATCAGGTGCCCTGCTGGGTCTTTGGGGGGGAGACCATTCCTTCATCATATAGGGGTGGAGCTGTCGCCCCTCTGGACCATGTTTCAGGAATATCTAGCCATGAGAGTAGGGGTGGGGAAAATCTTCCTGCTGTTAATCCTGGGTCCCCCAGGTTCAGGGCATTAAAGTGACTTTTAATTTTCCTTTTCTTTCTGTGTCTTACATTCAGGAAGGGGAAGACAATTCCCTTCTCTACATCATTAGTTCCTTTTGTTTGCTGAATCCTCACTGTGTAAAGACATAAACATCTGGACATAAAGGGATTTTGTCCCATTTCCCTGACCGTTGGCCAAACAATTCCAATCATGTGATGGTATAGTCATTTAGGGGCCATTCCCCCCATAGTTTAAAGTATACATAGGCCAAGAAGTGTTGCGATAGAAAACCAATTCCTTCTTAGTCATTGGATCATAGCTGTACATCGACCAATCTGCTAAAATTCAGCCCAGTGAGTTCCCTTCAGGAATTAAAACAGAACGACCCCCAATGGCACAGAAGTACAAACCCAAAACTATAATCATAGAAAGACCCCAGACAAAGTGGGAACATATGAACAAAACTTGGATCCATATTCCATTAGTACAAATGAGTTCTCACAAGCAAATTCTGGCATCTTAATTCCTGCCAACCAATACCGCAAGTGGTCCTGACTGGATCCAAATGGCGCAAAGCCCAAGTGGCTTGAAGCCCAAGTGGCACAAAGCCCAAGCAGCAGGGATAGTCTGCCAACTGGTGCCACAAATGGTCCTAACCAGACCCAAGTGGCACAAAGCCCAAGTGGCATGAAGCAGCAGGGATAGTCTGTCAACTGGTACTGCAGTTTATCCCATCAAGACCCACGTGGCACAAAGCTCAAGTGGCACAAAGCCCAGGTGGCAGGGATAGCCTGCCAATCAGCACTGCAAATGGTCCTAACCAGACCCAAGTGGTACAAAGCCCAAGTGGCAAGGATAGAGGACCCCCAGTATGCATGTTGGTTTGATGTACCCAGTCTTGGAGTCCTTCCCTCCCCATACACTCATTTCCTTTCATCAGCCAAGCGTTTCAGGTAGCTGACACCTTCAGATGGAGTTCAGGGAAATTCCTTGAGAAAAGCTCTCCGCAGCTGCTGCAAAGTCTGTACAGTCCTGCTCTGGGGTCGGCCTGCCACAGGCAGCTGGAACCCCAACCTTGGCTCTTTGGGACTTACTGAGGTCCATGCTGTCCCATCTGGGTCACCAAAAACTGTAACCAAAATACAGGTTTGCCTCCCTGCCACAATGAAAGCTAAACTTGTGAGACAAGTGCTGGTGCAAAAAGAAAGAAGTTAATTCAAATGCAACGACCTAGAAGAATGGTGGACTCCCGTCTCAAAGACCATCCACCCTTCCTGCACAAGCCTGCAGTTCTTATAGGGATAGGGAGAGGAGGGATTTATTTTCTAACTATCTTGCTAGCTTTTAGTGCACTCAGGCCCTGTCCATTCATCTTTCTAGCTTTTGGTGTGCTCAGTGTAAGAATCTCTCCCTGCACCACCTTGGCCAATGGAGGAGACTCCTTGTTGCTCCCTGACTGTCTACAGTATCAGGGTCAGTGGGGGGTGGGGTGGAAGGCTGCTATAGGACCTGCCATCAGGAGGAAGCCTGGGGATGCTGCAGCCCTCAGACTGCCTCCTGACACTGGACATGGTGCCTGAACATCAGGGGGAGCTGGTTGGAGCCTGTAGGGCACACTTGGATCCAGGCACACTTAACGTTTTCTGCACAACCCCGGCATGGCCTACCCCTTTGAAGTGGCCAGCCAGGTTCAGGCTCACCCTGCCACTGGCTACCCATCATCTGACTGTCTACAGTAACAACTTAGGGTGATAAGAAGAAGACTTTCTTTTGTTTTCCAGTTGTTGGTACTAGAGCACAAGGTTTTTAGGGTTTTGTGTTTTTTTTATTTGTTTGTTTGTTGTTTTTTGCATTGCTCTGGCTTCTGGGATCTCCACCAGAAGGTGGAAAATGCATTTTATTTGCTGGAAGGTGGGCGTCTCCTCTTTGACCAAGTCATTTCAGTCTCAGGGATGACACCCATGGGGGATTGTGCTGGGCGATGGGGTTTTGAACCAGTGAAATCCCAGCACTGACCCTTGCAACGAGACTCTGCAACAGTGCAGCTGTGACTGGTGTGGGTGAGGTTAGCTGGGTTGAGAGGCTGGCTGGTTCCTTTGTGGCTTTGTCTCCTCAGTAATGGCTACTGCCAGACCTCAGTTATTTCGGCTCTGTGTCTCCACCCTATCACTGGGATTAGCTGCAGTGTACTTCCTGCCTTTCAGGGAAAAAATGCTTTTGTCACTCCAGTTCTCAGGGCTTCAGGTAATGTGCTGTGTTGCCCAGCACTCAATGCTGCAGCTTATTTGGAGGCCAGCTGCTAGCTCTGGAAGGGTGAGGAGAAGTGACAAGGCTCCATAGATTTGTTTTCTCTCTGGCAGTTACTTGGCTGGCAGACAACTGCAACTGCAACTCTGTGCTCCAGCTTCGCTGAGTTCACTGGGCTCAGCTGCAGTGCTTACCAACCATTCTGGCAGAAGAAATCATATCTCTTTGCTCCTCTGGCCTCAGGGAGTACAGGTGGCGACCTGCTTCCTTTTCTTTTCTAAGACCCACAGTGAACTCTGGGTTGTATCCGTGGCACCCATTTCCACTCTTGTCCCCTCCTACCTCCCCAGCTCACCCTGTTCCTTCACCTCCAGGTGTTTTAATGTGCCAGTTATTTATAGGTGCTTGTGTTTTGAGCAGGGAGTCCTTTATTGAATTTTAACTGTTCAAATTGTTGTAACTTAAAGGAGAGAAACGCTGCCATTCCACTGACATTGCTCCTGTAATATATGTAGAATAAATTCTTTTATTAGGCATGTAATTTGCAAACCATATTTGCCACGTCCTCTTCCAACCATATTGTCTGACAAAGTCCGGATATGGAGAAGAAAGCTTCAAGGAATGCATCTTCTAGGAAGAGGACGTTGCATGGGGGTGGGATTAATCAGTATTACGGGAATTATAATATTGGGAATTATTATTCTATATGACTAACCTCGGAATAATAAACAAGATATCTGAAATCATGCCTCTTCAAATAAATTCTGAAGAAACTCCAGCTTCCCCTGAAACAGTCACCACTGCATGTCCAGACTGTCTTAATAATTTACTAATTCAACTAGGTAAAAATTTCCCCCCAAAAGTCCCTAATTAACAATTCATAGATGAATTGTGACAGGTAGAACTAATGGAGGCACCTTATACTCCAGTGCCTCCTCCCCAGATAGAGTAAGAATAGTTAACAAAGACAGACTACATGTTCCTTATGCAAGCTTACCTTCATGGAATGATTGACATACCAAAGTCCCCCTTGGTGTTTACGCACAAAGGAACAAAAGAAATCTCAATCATTGCAATTGAATAGGTTTTATAAGAAATGTTGTCCTGAGTTAGCTAGGGAGGTAAATAAAAAACTAGCTGATCTAAAAACCCAGAACTAGATCAACTATTAATCTCAGACAAAGGGCCTATAGAAAAACTCTGTCTCACCTTACAGGTTACTCTACTCCCTTCTTTGTATCTATAAATACAAAAAGTTATAAATTAATTCTGATAAAAAATGAAACTAACATCCTGGTACTATGGAATGTAACTCCCTGCTTCTTTAACCTCAAATGTTAAATTTATGCCAAAAATGAAAGTACATAAGCACATAGAAACTTGCAATAAATCGGAACAGTGTCACACTTCCTCTGAGTCATGTAGTCATCTGTCTCCCAGCGCCAACGCCTTACCACCTTCGGGACCCCTGGATCCTGCTGCAGCTGGACCGTGGCATATATTTGCATCCCTGGTTGAAGTAGGTGATATAGTTGATATTTGTGAAAATATTTAGAACATATAGTTTTTTTTAAATACACCCCACCCCACCCCCACCCCCTTTTTTTTTATAATTTGCTCTTTATTCCCTAGGTGTGGTGTGATCCCATATTGCTCTAATGGCACAAAATCAGTATGTTTTAAAATCTCTGTTAAAGTCACCTTTGGCTCTCTTACTATCAGATACTCTAGGGACTTTTCTTTGTGGGGACATAGATCTCAAATTATAGGCACTTGGTTATTGATTTAAGAGGCCATTCTGGCTACAAAAATTTTTCAAGAACCACACTCTCCTCTTATCCAACAGATGTGTCATGCCCAGAGCCTGGCCTACGACTTGGTCCATGGGGTCCACTTCTTACTGGGAGGTGTCATGTCTGTGCCTGTATTGGATATAAGGAGACTACAGCAGGCTCTTGGACATTGTTAACTTCCAAGGTAAGAGTTGCTCAGATCAAAGAGCACTGGAAATTTCAGTGTTTACGACATCCTGACATTCTAGTTCTAGGTCTTGGAGCTGATGAAAAAATAACTTTTTACCCCACCCCTTCCTCTTTCTCTTTGAACAGGTGACAGTGGCAGTGGTGGCTTGTGAAGCCATGGCCAAAATGAAGACTTGAGACCTTTGCAACAAGAAGAAGGATCTGAAGGTGGGAGTGTCCCAGTTGTGTGTCGTCAAAGTGACAGGTGGTGGCATGTTTTCCTAGCTCTCTAAGAACTAAATTGTTAACAAATCCATTGCCCATGTTCTCTCCATCATTAATGAGACTCAGAACCTTAGGAAATTCTACAAGGGCAAGAAGTACAAGTCCCTGGATCTGCAGTCCAAGAAAACATGGGCCATGCTCTACCCGCTCAACAAGCAAGAAGAGAATGTGAAGACCGAGAAGCAGCAGTGGACCCTAGCCAGTTTTTCTCAGTGGTTAGAGCTTGGCCTGTAGACCAAAGAATCACAAGATCGATCCCAGTCAACGGCATGTACCTCGATTGTGCTTAGGTCCCCAACCCTGGTTGGGGTCATGCTGGAGGCAGCCAATCAATGTGTCTCTCACATCGATGTTTCTCTCTCTCTGCCTGTTTCTCCCTCTCTCCCTCACCCCCACTCTATCTGGAGATAAATGGAAAAATATTCTCGGGTGAGGATTAAAAAAAAAAAAAGCAGCAGTAGTGGAAGGAGCAGCTATATCCATTGCTGAAGTAACGTGGTCAAGGCCTGAGCATCATGGCATCAATAAAGCACAAACTGGCAAAAAAAGGAAATACCTTTCAAGCAAGCCGTGCATCCATTTCCATGTTATATGAATGATGATTTCATTTTTAGTGTTTCCCTTACTCTAGAATCTGCTGTCTCAGTAAAAATTGTTGTTGTTTTTTTTATTATTATTATGTGTAAACAAGACTATATCAATAGTTGTCGCACTTTGCATCAGGGTTCCAAGCTCTTACCATCACTGAATGTCCAGCATTTGATTTGCTTGCTTATTGTCATTTCCCATGAAAATATTAGCTCAGGAGTCATGATCAATACACAGTGGACATGATAATTTTGCTGCAATTAAACCCACACTTACCCATTGTTATGGCCTCGCAGGTCATAGTATTGGCCCATCTCATAGAATGTTTGGTACCCTCCATCCTCCTCTATGATGAACTTTTCTCCAGACGCAGGGCAGCGGCCACACATTATCTGATTTCCCAATAGCAGCTGGGGAGCGTGGAGAAAGGTTCCATCTAGAGCTTGTGTGTCTAGAACACCAGGAGAGCAACAACCCTCAGGAAGAACAGGTTCTGGATAAGGGAATAATATCTGGACATGCCTATTAGAAACATGACTCAGTCTGTGATTGAGAAGAGTGATGTTTATCATTTACTTGGCTTCCCTGTTGGACTTTTCATCCATCTTCACTTGGGAAGACTTTATCTTCTGATAAAGGAAGTATATTGACATGTGTATTTTGCCCACTTCCTACTTTACTGTTTAAAATAAGGTCCTCATGGTGCCATGTGGCACACAGTCCTTCCAGGTGACACTGATCATCAGTCCACTGGTCATCCTACAACAACAAATCCTTCTTGTCTTACACTGTGGTTTCTGGGGGCAGTTTTCTGGATACCTGAGGCTGCAGACACACTCTATTTGGGGTTATTTAACCTATAATGTAGGATCAGAGAGTGGTAGATGGATTCTCTATTCCAGGTTCTTCCTACTCAGAGTAAATTGACCTCCAGATCAAGAATGTGCACATGCTGCCCTGGCTGGTGTTGCTTAGTGGTTAGAGAACATCAGCTCGAGTACCAAAGGATCATGAGTTTAATATCCAAAGTTACGTCCTGAGTTGCAGGTTTAATCTCCAGCTCTGGTCAGGATCATGTGGGAAGCAACCAATTGATGTGTCTCTCACATCGATGTTTCTCTCTCTCTCTCTCTCTCTCTCCCCTTCCCACTCTCTTTAAAAATCAATGGAAAAAATATCCTCCAGTGAAGATTAACAAAACAAAATAAAAAAAGAGTACACACACACAGCAGTTGTAACTATTTTTTAAGGTAAGTACTGGTTAATATTTGAAGAACCTCTCAAAACCTTGAGATGTTTTTTTTTCCCCCCACTGGGCAAAAACACTTTTCTTCCTCTTTCAAATTTTCTCTTTCTGCCCAGTTGATGTGGCTCAGTGGTTGAGTATTGACCCATGGACCAAGAGGTCACCAGTTCACTTTCTGGTCAGGGCATATGCCTGGGTTGTGGGCTCAATCCCAAGAGGGGTATGCAGGAGGCAGCCAATCTATGTTTCTCTGTCATTGATGTTTCTTCTATCTCTTGCTTCCTCTCTTAAAAAAAAAAAAAAAAAAAGATTTTTTTATTTTCCCCCCTTGTTCATTTTAATTTTACTTATTTTTCTTTATCCTCTCCCTCAATGCTTTCCTCCTTGCAACCTTCGGCTTATTCTCTATATTTATGGGTCTCTCTCTGTTTTGTCTTATTTTATTTTATTTTTTAGACTTCACATATAAGTGAAATCACCTGGTATTTGTCTTCTGACTTATTTTACTTAAGCTTATACCCTCTAGGTCCATCCATGTTTTTTCAATGACAAGATTTCAATATTTTTTTATTGCTGAATTGTGTGTGTGTGTGTGTGTGTGTGTGTGTGTGTGTAGATATAGATATATAGATATTTATAATCTTTATCCATTCGTTTATTAATGGGTATCTAGGTTGCTTTCATATCTTGGCTCTTACTAGTAATCCTTCAATGAACATAGGGGTGTTTTTGTTTTCTTTGGATAAATATCCTGTCACTATGCAATCTGAATAAGACAATTCTCCGAGGACTGACTGAAACCTGATCTGACAAACTTCCTTGCAGCAAAATGCACACCTGCGAATTCTTGCATCTCACTTGTGGCTGTGTTTATGAGAAGTGCTGCCCAGGCTGGGGCTAGGGGTCCCAATGCCCACAAAGGGCAGCGGATTGCTTACTTTAAGCCCCAATATGGGGACATAGATGGAGGACTGGGCCTCCTGATTACAAATGTCATAGGGCCAAACCAATCTGGTCCCTTTCTTACACTGGTGAGTTTTTCCGTGATAACCATGCCACCTGGCCTACCCCTGACCCAGTTGTTCACCAGGCCCTCCTGTTTCCTACTCTCCTATTACGGACACAAGGGGTGATCTGAGGGGGAAAACTGAGCCAGGACTTCCCAAATCTGGAGGAGGAGCCGTTGGCCTGCGGGTTGATGCAGGGTCCGCCTAAACTTGAGCAGGGGTTTTTTCCTGCACCTTTCTAACCCCGAGCCTGTACCGTCCCCAGAGAAGGTGTGGTAGGGAACGAGTGACGCCCAGAACGGCATTCCTACAGTATTTATCCCCGTGACCTCTGTCTCTGCCCATCACTCAGGCCTGGGGACTGTAACTGCAGTATAATCGGGCTTACAGCACGAGGCTAAGGAACTGTCCACATAAGCGTCCTCGGGAATGTCTTGCTTTCTGTCCAATCAGGGTCCTGAGCGTGCCCAAGACCTGTCCAATCAGAACCCACGGTTTATTTGTCCTCCACAGTCTAATCAGAATGCGGGATTTTGGAGAATCGTCCAATCAGACTCGGAGGCGGGTGCGTTTGCAGCTCGCAGTCTTCGCTCTGGAGAGCTGTAGCGTCTGTTCCTACCTGCCCCTCGTGGCTCAACGCATTTGGCTCATCTTCCCACCTGCCGGGGAAAAGGGGCTGCGAAGAGGACACCAGGAGTTTGGAGCGTTGCCTCGGGATGGTGAATGCGTGGGATTGGCACTCGAGACCGGAAGGGGCTGGTTCTACCAGCCTCAACCAGCTGGAAATGACTGGGGGCTTGGTCTCGCGCGTCCCTCTCCCCTGGTTCCTGGCCGTTGCCTGGGATCCCGACCCCAATCTCTTTTCTCCGCTGCTGTTTGGGTTTCTGGCGTCCTGTCCTGTCCTCATGTAGGGTCGTAGGGGTCCTATCCAAGTTTGTGGCTGGGTTGTGGGACAGATGGAGGAGGGGAATATTGTGTGAATATTCCACATTTGCTTATCCAAATCAATTGATGGACTTTTGAGTTGTTTCTCCCTCCAATGCAACAGATATGCCAGGCCTCAGGCCCTGGCCTATGTCCATGCCCACAGTTTCATTCTCATTTTGTCAGATATGAGGGCTCTGGACCAGGCTCCTGAACACTGTCGACACATCAGGTGAGACTTGTTTAGATCAAGCAGCACTGGAAATCTCAGTGTTCACAAAATCCTGACTTTGGTTCCAGGTCTTGGAGCCGACAAGGAAATAACTTTTGGTATTCCCTTGCATGTTGCCTGAATGATGATTTCAATTTTTAGTCTTCAGCTTCCCCCAGAATCTGTTCTCAGTAAAAATGATTCTTTTCAACTGTCTGTGGATAAGTCTGTATCAGTTGTTGTTGCACTTTGCTTCAGAGTTCCAAGCACTTACCCTCACTGAATGTACTGCATTTGGTTTGCTTGCTTATTGTCATTTCCCATGAGAATGTGAGCTCAGGAGTCCTAGAAACTGAATATAAGTCCCTGACTGTCAGCCTCCCTTGTTTTTCTGTACACATTGGTGAAGAGATGCCTTTTTGAAATAGAATGTGTGGGCCCTGGCCAGTTTTGCTCAGTGGTTAGAGTATCGGCCTGTGGTCCAGAGAGACCCGGGTTTGGTACCTGCTGGAGGCGCGTACCTCCGTTGCAGTTTGTCCCCGGCCCTGGTTGGAGAGGCAGCCACTTGATGTGTCCCTTTCACGTTGATGTTTCTCTCTCTCTCTTTTCCTCTGTCTCCTTCCCACTCTATCTGAACAAAAAATGGAAAAATGTCCTCAGGTGAGGATAAAGAAAAGAAAAGAAATAGAATGTGTGGGATGTTTCAGACCTCAGTGGTCTTTGTAGATGTGGCTGTGAACATCACCCGGGAAGAGTGGGTTTTGCTGGCTCATTTGCAGAGGAAGCTCTTCAGAGATGTAATGCTGGAGACCTGCAGGAACCTGGCCTCGGTGTGTAAGTATGGCTTCATTACTTTCCTTAGTTTTTAGAGGAGACATATTTCTCACAATTTTTATTTTTATTTTTTATTGGGGCCAAGAAATGAAAATATGTTAAACAAACATGGTTCTTCATGGACCCTACCTAGAGTCAGATGGGTTTTCCATGATAACAAAGTTTCATGTATTAACCTATTTATTACTTTTGATCAAAAGTCTGGGACTCCCTAATTTTATGTATAAGCAGCATCTCCAGTGTCACTTTGGGACCATGAGAGCAGCTATATTGTTTTCCCCTTGAGAAAGTCACACTATGGTTAATACACATTTGATATGGTAATTTTATTAAAATTGAACTCATACTTACCAAATGAGACTGACCTCGAAAATTGTGGTATCAGCCCATCTCAAAGAATGTGTGTTTCCTTCCATCTTCCCCATCGTGGAGTGTTTGTGCATGAGCAGGACAGCAGCCAGGCACTATTTCATCTCCCAG